GGCTGGGCTCCCAGCCTGCTAGGCTGGTCAAGCTGGTTTTAGCTGGTCATCTCCCAGCCTGAAAACCTAAGACCAGGCTGGAAATGGCTGGAAACCAGCCTGGAATTGGCCAAAACCCCTCTAAAACCAGCCTGGTCGACCAACTAAAACCAGCCAACCAGCCTAGGCTGGTTTAAGCTGGATTTTTCAGCAGGGAGGACGGCAAATAATTTTGACTTTAACTGTAGATACGCCACTTCAGCATGTGTAATCCATCATTTCTTCTCTCTCTCTCTGTTTCCCTCAGTACGTGGCGTTCGGATCGCTTCTCTTCATCCTCATCTCCATCTCCACCTTCTGCATGGAGACGCACGAGGCGTTCAACACCATCTACAACAAGACGGAGAACGTGACGGAGGGCAACGTGACGCGGGAGGAGATCGTCTACGAGGTGGTGACCGACAGCTGGCTGACGTACGTGGAGGGAGTGTGTGTGGTGTGGTTCACCATCGAGGTCTTCACCCGCGTCGTCTTCTGCCCCGACAAGATGGAGTTCTTCAAGAGCCCGCTCAACATCATTGACTTTGTGGCCGTCCTGCCGTTCTACCTGGAGGTGGGACTCAGCGGGCTCTCCTCCAAAGCAGCCAAAGACGTGCTGGGCTTCCTCCGCGTGGTGCGCTTCGTCCGAATTCTGCGTATTTTCAAGCTGACGCGTCACTTTGTGGGCTTGCGTGTTCTGGGACACACTCTTCGCGCCAGCACCAATGAGTTCCTGCTGCTGATCATCTTCTTGGCTCTCGGCGTGCTCATTTTCGCCACGATGATCTACTATGCTGAAAGAATAGGCGCTAGCCCGGATGACCCAACGGCGAGCGCGCACACCAACTTCAAGAACATCCCCATTGGGTTCTGGTGGGCCGTGGTGACCATGACCACTTTGGGATATGGAGATATGTACCCGGAGACGTGGTCTGGGATGCTGGTGGGGGCGCTGTGTGCGCTGGCGGGCGTGTTGACCATCGCTATGCCCGTTCCTGTGATCGTCAATAACTTCGGCATGTATTATTCGCTGGCCATGGCTAAGCAGAAGCTGCCTAAGAAGAAGAATAAGCACATTCCGCGGGCGCCACAGCCTGGATCGCCTAATTATTGCAAGCCGGACGCATTAGCTATGGCCACGGCTTCACCCCAGAGGATCTTGGGTAATGTGCTGGGTGGTGTTCTGGGCTCGAGCGGGCTCACAGGAGACTGTCCTCTCGCTCAAGAGGAGATCATCGAAATCAACAGAGGTGAGAAACACGTGCTGGCCCAATACAATCAGCTTTAAAGTGCACATGAAATCAAAACTAGCCATATTGATTTTGTTAGCTCACATTGCTAGTCTTGAACAATTCATCTGAGCTGATCAATTCTGAGCAATTCATCAAATGACTGATACCCCCACCCTAAATGACTGATACCCCCCACCCTAAATGACTGATACCCCCACCCTAAATGACTGATAGCCCCACCCTAAATGACTGATACCCCACCCTAAATGACTGATAGCCCCACCCTAAATGACTGATACCCCCACCCTAAATGACTGATAGCCCCACCCTAAATGACTGATACCCCCACCCTAAATGACTGATAGCCCCACCCTAAATGACTGATACCCCCACCCTAAATGACTGATAGCCCCACCCTAAATGACTGATACCCCCCACCCTAAATGACTGATATCCCTGTCCTAAATGACTGATAACTCCACCTTAAATGACTGATAGCCCTCCCTTAAATGACTAAGAGCTTCACCCTAAATGACTAATAGCTCCGCCATAAATGACTGATATCCCCGCCCTAAATGACTGATATCCCCCACCCTAAATGACTGATATCCCTGCCTTAAATGACTGATATCCCTGTCCTAAATGACTGATAGCTCCACCTTAAATGACTGATAGCCCTCCCTTAAATGACTAAGAGCTTCACCCTAAATGACTGATAGCCCCGCCCTAAATGACTGACACCCCCACCCTAAATGACTGATAGCCCTGCCCTAAATGACTGATATCCCTGTCCTAAATGACTGATAGCTCCACCTTAAATGACTGTTAGCCCTCCCTTAAATGACTAAGAGCTTCACCCTAAATGACTGATAGCTCCACCTTAAATGACTGATAGCCCTCCCTTAAATGACTAAGAGCTTCACCCTAAATGACTGATAGCCCCGCCCTAAATGACTGATACCCCCACCCTAAATGACTGATAGCCCTCCCCTAAATGACTAATATCTCCACCCTAAATGACTGATAGCTCCGCCCTAAAAGACATATAGCTCCACCCTAATGACTGATGGCTCCATCCAAACAGCATTCCGTGACCAGAAAGGGAAGAAAGACATTTCATAGGGAAAGGGAACGTTATGGTATTTGATTAAAGGTTATGAGGGCAAATGAAGGTTTACAAAATATTGAAGCGCTCCGATACATCGTTTATAACAAGAACTACAATACAGGAGAGCTAATTATTTTACTAATAAACTGTATATCTTTATTTTTGATTTTTTTGGAAATATATGGAGGCCCAATACAATCAGCTTTTAAAGTACACATGAAATCAAAACTAACCATACTCCATAATTGATATGCTTTAAACCCACAGCCATCACAATATCTGAGCATAAAACATTTTGTAGATGTGTGAGAAAATATTGTCACCGCGATTTTTAAGTATTGTTAAAATGGCAACAAGCTGTACAATGCACAATGTGTTTGCTTGTGAATATTTCGACACACACACCACACACTTTCTGCTAATGTCATGTCTATTATCATTAATTATTCATTGTTTTTTAAACCTATAAGTCTCTAATAGGTTTACACAGGGTCACTATATGTTCAATACAAGTTCTATGAGGTACAGGAAAGAGAAATGATGATGTGATCATACTGTAAGTGTGTGATTCATGTCCTGTACTTCAATTGTTGGCACATACAGTACGTGTGCGTATGCAATTTATGTCTAAAGAACAAAGTTTTATTCATGTACTTTTATAGTTCTATTTAGTATTTTATGTGTGTAGATGTTATTTCTTTTGTTTCAGATGTCATTTAAATTTTCAATAATTATTTTGCTTTTTTAATATTTTGGTTTAGCTTGACTTTATTGCCATTTTTGTTCAGTTTTAGTTTTACTCATTTTAGTTATTTTACTTATTTACGTTTCGGGCAGCATCTCTAATTTTCATTAAAGTTTTTTATTTAATTTATTTCAGCCTCTTTTAAGGTAACTAACACTTAGATCACTTGTTGTTATATTAAATATAAGTTAAGGGTTAATAAACAATGCCACATTTTGTGGTTTTGGGCTGAACTAAAGTTGAAGGCAAAGTTTTTAGCCCTCCTGTGAAATTTATTTAAATATATTTATAAATTTTTTTTATTTATACATTTTTTCTCAATTTATTCATTTATTTATTTAGTTTATTTATTTATACATTTATCTTTTTCTAATTTTTTTTTATTATTTATTTTATCAATTTATTTTTACATTTTTTTTTTCTAATTTTAAGTAAATAAATTTGTATCTTTTTATAATTTTCAAGTTTTATTTATTTAATTATTCATTTATTTTAATAATTTGTTTATGCATCTATACTTTTTTTCTAATTTTAAGTAAATAGTTTTTATCGATTTGTTTTTTTCTAATTTTATTTATTTAGTTAATTGTTTTTTTATTTGTTTTATTTATACTTTTTTTCAAATTTTATTTAATTATTTATTTTATTTATTCATTTATTCATTTATCTATACATTTATATTATGTCTTTAATTATTTTATTTTATTTATTCATACATTTATTTCTAATTTTAGGTAAATATTTTAATCAATTTATGATTTTTCTAATTTTATTTAATTATTTATTTATTTTATTAATTTATTTATACATTTATTAGTTTTTCTAATTTTATGTAAATAATTTTTTTTATCAATTTGTTCTTTTTCTAGTTTTATTTATTTTATCAATTATTTATTTAATTTATTTATTTATAAATGTGTTCTTTTTCAAAAGTTTCCCAAATTATATTTAAAAGAGCAAGCACACTTTCACAGTATTCCCTATATTTTTTTCTTCTGACAAAAAGTCTTTTTTCTTTTCGTTTGGGTGGAATTGGAATTGTTTTTAGTTAAATGAGAAATTATTTTTTAACAACATTTTTATAACAAACCACCATTGCAGTTTAATCTGAATACTATCTTGCAAAATAACCAGTAAAAAAATATGTACTGTCATCTTGGTAAAGACAAAAGAAATAAGATTTAATTTGATAAAAAAAAAATAAAAAAAAAACATTTAAGTATCTTTAAAATGTGTTGGGGAAAAAATTCACAATATTAAACAGCACTTGTGTTTTGAAAAGCTAACAATTTTGACTTCAACTGCATTTAAATATTTATTTATTTAATTAATTTATTATTAATAATAATTTTTATAATTATTATTTTTATTATTTTACCATTGCAATTTAATCTGAATGCTAGTGTCTTGCAAAATAATCAGTAAAATATTATATATTGGCAAAAACTAAAAAAAAAAAAAATTTGAAAGTACTATATTTAAAAATATGTTGAAAAATATCTCTCCATTAAACAGCACTTTTATTTAGAAATGATAACAATTTTGACTTCAACTGTATTTCTTTAATGAGTGTTAGCCTTTTCCTTCATGTTTTTTTTTTACGTCAAATATGTCATCCTTCATCATTCTCACTCTCAATTAACTTGTGTTTCTCTTCAGACTCGAAGCAGAACGGTGACGCCGCCAGCGCCGCTCTAGCAAACGAGGACTGTCCAACAATCGATCAGGTTCTCAGCCCAGACGAGCGCAGCCCCGTGGGCCGAACACAAGAGCGTTACCAGCAGGACAGAGCCTGCTTTCTTCTCAACACACGAGAGTTTCGACCCACTGATGGAAATGTGCGGAAAGGTGCGTTTCAGAGCTTCTGCATGCGATTTAAACAAACAAACACACACACACATTCACACAAGGGAACATCAGTCTCACACCAGTCCAATTTCTCTGCTAGTTACACCTTCAAAGAACTCTCCACCTTTTTTTGAAATAGGCCCATTATATAACTCTCCTAGACTTAAACAGTTGAGTTTTATCATTTTTGAATCCATTCAGCTGATCAAGGGTCTGGCAGGAGCAATTTTAGCTTAGCTTAGCATCTATCACTGAATCGGATTAGACCATTAGCATCTCACTCAAAAATGACTAAAGAGTTTGGATAGTTTTTCTATTTAAAGCTTGAAAATTCAGTAGTTACGCCATTTCCTAAAACAAAACATTAAAAATAACAATTATAGTCAGTGTTGGGGAAAGTTACTTTTAAAAGTAATGCATTACAATATTGAGTTACTCCCCAAAAATAAACTAGTTGTGTTACTTAGTTACTTTTTATGTTAAGTAATGTGTTACGTTACTTTTGAGTTACTTTTGTGTTACTTTTCCTTACCTTTGCTGAGGCTTGATGCTAATAATATCAAATGGTAATAATAAACGTTTACAAATCGACTTTTGAAAATCACGATCGCAATATATACATCTGTGCCTAATATGCGATTACTTCATTTTTTAAAATAATGCATTATTTTACTTGTTATTTAATGCATATATATATATATATATATATATATATATATATATATATATATATATATATATATATATATATATATATGTGTGTATATGAGAAAAAAA